TTATATTGGACAATGATGATATACACAGAACCACTCGCCGACAGCGCCGGATTTAAGGCAGGACAAATTTCAGCAGTTAAGCGGGGGGGAGCAAATATGGCCGAAAATGGTGTGTACCGTTGCTGGCAAACATGACTGAAATCACCATACACCACTTACATAACAGGATGGCAGCGAAGCAGCGCGTTATGTAACAGATCAGCGCTTCCCGAAGGTACAGACAAGTATCCAGCCTCTTTCTCTGCCAGTCCCGAGCCCTCGCAAATGCATTTATTTAACTGATTTAGGGAGTAGGTACTGGGGTTTTTTCTTTATCGCGCATGTGCGATAAAATACATATTTATTAAGCACGAAAATTAAGAAACGAATATTGAAAGGAAGGAGCTCTTTGTGCACCGCGGTAAATCCGCAGGTAATCACGTTATTTCTGCATGTTTGGGGGCGTTGCCGACAGTCAACTGGGGATCTTTAACTCCGGCCAAATGGATAATCCCACACAAACAAGGCAATTAACTCACCGAAAACAACGCGACAGTAAACCGATTTAGTACTATACTACTAAAATAACGTGCAACTACTCGCTTCAGAATGCAAACTTTAGTATAACGGAATAAAGCGTTTTTATGTCTCGTAACATCCCGTGGCGTGTCGCGTTCTGCAAGCACACTCCGGTCGCGTAGATCTGTGTTATAGGGCAAAGGGAAACGGGCCATGAGTGCATGTCGCTGGAGCGTGTGTCCGGACGTGCGCCCCCCATCCAGGCAAAACAGACCAACAAAAGGCAGAGCAACCTATACTTTGCCACTTTGTATTCCTGCATACGGAGTAACAATGTAGCGGATTGAGGTAACAGATCGTCCGCCTCTGAGAGTCACATGGCGGCGCCCGATCAGCGCTGTGCCCGACCCCCCGATCCGCCGTTGCGGGTCGGCTGCGCTCGCCTCCGCAAAGCCAGGTGCGCGGTTCGCATTCACGCAAATCGCCGGCGGCGCGCCTTACCGTCGGGCCGTGAGGCATCGGACCGCGGGTTCACTTCGGCCGTCATGTCTCCCCCTCTGGCCCCCGCTTAGCGGTCGCTGAAAAACAAAACAAAAGAAAAACAGACGCGGAGACGTGACGCGCTCTCAAAAGCGTCCGTCAGAATGGCTTTTTAACTGTGTGACAGCCATGCACGGCGTTATTATAGGGACACGTCTCACCTCGGCTACAGAAACGAGAGCCTTCAAAAGCAATGCAAATGGCAGAAAGCAGTGGAAACGACGAGTCTCTGATTAACCTTGGTTGAAAACTTGGAAAAAAATTAATTCGCCAAGAAAGAAATGCATTCAAAGACAAGAATATCGCGACTAATTAAAGTCTAAAAAAAATCTGTTTTTAACTTAAGAGTGCATGGGGAATCACATGGAGAAAATGTATGGAGGAGTGGCTCAAACGGGGACGGAAACTTTTTTTCTGTTTCAGCCTATCGGACAAGCAAGCAGCGTGGACCAAAGACAGTATAAGCGACACCCCCAGTCTGTGCTTCCCCGTTGACGTCTTTGACTGATTAGGCAACGTTCTGCAAGTGCCTGGGGCGGTCCGGCGAACATAATTTTTAGCAAGTCTATCAGTTTTCTTTACGCGCTATTATTCACAGTTTGTAAGCAAATGGTTAAATGAATACGGCATTTTCTCCGCTCCGCTTAATGAGCCGTGGATATTTTTTTCCGTATAGCATATGATTCAGTGTGTATACTTAATCGAAATGTTTTTTTTTTTTGCAGTGAATGATTCATGCATTTGTTCAGTGTTTATACATGTTCAAAATGTTTTTTTTTTCCGTTGTAGTGCATGATTCATGCGGTATATCTGCATCCTCCCTGTATGTCAGTTCTCCTTCATTCTTGCAGAATTTTACCCAACTTAACCCGTCCATTGAGACACTATAAAATTGCGTTTGGGATAAAGAAGTGTCTGAAATTTGGAAATACGTGTGTAGAGAAAGCAGTACTGGGCTGGCCATCTGTCATACAGGGCACTTTCACAGCGAGCCAATGTTTTTTTTTTTCCTCGTAGATGAACCCCCCATCGATAAATGTTATCATAGATATGTATGTGTGGTGTTCGGGCAAAAGTCAAGGTCCGATTTATAGTTACATTCCACCCCTGATAGATAGTATGCGTCTAATATGTAAAATTCTGCTTCATTGGACAAGATCATGTAACACTTTGAAGTGGAGTTTGTGTGTTTTTCCATAGGGAGCCACATAGTTTAAATCAGGGTTTTCTCTAAACAGGGCCAAGCCAGGAAATGAAGGCCCCAGAACTTAAAGGAATCTTCTGGAAGATGTCTGGAGAACATTAGGTGTTGGTTCGCTGTTCTCGTGTAAAATTAACTTTTGGAGTGGGAGCAGTGTGGGCCGCGACCTTGGCTGGCGCCATGTGAACGACATCCCCGGTATCTGTTTTTGTTTTTGTTGTAGCTCGGGCTGAATTTAAAATGCCATTTTGAAATCAGATCAGGTTTTTCCCTCCCCGGAACTGCAGCATCTTTACCTATGAGACGGTGCAGATTGCAGCTTGCAGTGTTTCATTTTGGCCACTCGGCGGTGCTAAAGTACCGTAAAAGTCCTGAAACGATAAACGCAGCGCCTGCAGCTAAGCGCATTTCTAGCAGCACTTCCGAGAAGCAGTCAAGGTCAGTCAATGACACAGTACTTTTTATTACGTGATGTAAAAAAAACACGGCCATATAATACGGATACACAACATACTGATATCAAACAACGGTGAATGGGAGTTATTTTATTCATCGCTATAGCTTCTCATGCTTGAAAATTACACGTCTAATGTGGTGCATACTTTACTGTAGGTTCATTAGCCCGGCTGGCACCCATGTGTGGAAGATAAAATGCGTACTTTGCTCCGATGTTTTTATTTTACTTAAAATCATAAATTCATAAATGCCTGTGCATTACAGTTTGAGTATGGTTGGTTGTTTATTCAATCATTTTCCATGAGTAAAAAGTATTTTTTTTGGCAAGGGCAGATTTCACTCAGATTTTGAAGGTGATCTTCTTTTGGGGTAAATAAAGTAAGGAAACCATAAGAAATAAACAGAATTAAACTGGAAATGTATTCAACAGGAGGAGAGGGTGAAGATTTTATCAAATAGACCTAATGGGAGACAAAAAATATCATCAGACGGACCTTAAATGAGAAAGCGTGGGACTGTAATCCGAAAAGTCTGCGAACGACATAGCAAATGAGAAGCTTTTTAATGCATTTCCACCCCGAAACTGCATGAGTGCGTAGGGAGATACGGAGTTTATATTTGACAGCAGACCTGCCCCCAGCTGTGCCGCAGCCCTGCAGAGTCCACACAGCCTTAGAGCCTGAAATTTAACTCCTTCAGCCTCCCCCCACTGTGCACTGTTTCTGACAGCAGTGATCGTACTTAACCAACAAACACACTTCGCCGACGCTGATACATGGACGGCTTATTGTAAAGTCAGCTCTCCTTTGCATCCCCTCGTAACCTATTTGCCTAAACAAGCGTATAGAAGTGCAGGAGGCGAGCCACGGTTAATGCACAAGTGCACACTAGATGCCCAGTTAACCGTGCGATAGAAACGTGTATCCACACAACCGGGCGTTGGAGGATACGGATGTCTGCAGAGATCAGTGGACTTGTAGCGTTGACGGAACGCCTGTCCTGAATACAGGTGTTCTGGGGGAATGCAGACCACAAACAGCGCATCGAAACATTTATTTTCACACAAGTTTACGGGCTGTTTATGAGTTATAGAGCGCAGCGACTTAAAACAGTGAAAATGAAAGTGAGCTGCATGACATCTTCAATGTTCAGACCTCAAAAATGAACAAAGCTTAAGGATAATGAAGGATACACCATACACCAGGTTTTGGACAGGGAAACATATTTAACAGTACAGTAAATATAAAAAGTTATAATTGAATAGTAAGACCAACATATCCCTCTGCTTGACTGACAAGCATGTTGGGTCACTGACCCTATATCCAGTATGCATAAGATGGATGTCTCGCTGCAGTCCAGGCAGGATATCACTTTGAAACATTTTTGTTGTCCCCACATTAAAAACATGGCGTCTGCTTCACAACTCGACAAGCTCGGTAACTGTGAATAGTGTCGCACAGCCGCTGCAGTGTCACATGCATCATACATCAGAAGGTATGCGTGCAGCGTCAGAGAGCGTCGTCGTGGAATAGCCTGAATGCCTTTCAGGGCGCTGCATCTCAGCGCTCGGTGGCAGCGAGGGCGGCAAAGGCTCTGGAGGTGTTCCGAGACCTGCGCCGTTGGGGAGAAACATTTCGGCTCAAATGTGATGGTTGTGTATCAAACATAATACTCCACAGGCGCTTATTTGACAGTTTTTAGCTTCTCAGAACACAAAGTATTTAAAAAAAATATAGATTATGAAGATGCTGTGAAAGGCAGGACACACGGAGCACGGCTGCAGCGCGGGATAACAGTCTGAGGACGCAGTCCGGGCCTCTGCACGGACCTCAGCGATGCGGGCTGGACCAACCCACTGTTACTCATGCCCAAGGTGAGGTGCCCCTCAGTTGCCCCCCAAGCAGCTGACAGACGATGTGTAGTTCTGCACTGACAAAATTCAGGTCAAGCATACAATGCTGAATGCTGGTATTTAACAGTAAGTAGACAGATTGGAAATTCACAGCATAAAATGTATAATGCAGCTCTCCATCACAACAGCTTTGTTCCTTCTGTTCGCCCTCCTAAGTCATGTGCGTTTTAAAGACTTGCGTTATCAATTAAGATGAATGATACAGATGTGATGATGTTACAGTTTTAATTACACAGTAATGGGGTTATTTAAAAAGTTACTGTATTATGGCACATTTATAAGCAAGCCATAATTATGACAGTAACTTTTTATGTTCAGATTAGGCTTAAACATAGAAATGATATCATTCAGCAGAACTTTGAAATGGTTGGAAGGATAAAACAAAGAAACAGATCATTTAAAGAAAAAACATTTAATCTGAATCACCTCTTTTCAGTGTGTCTGAAATAAGTATCATGACAAAACGAAAGGCCGGAAGCCTATTCAGCATTAAGACTAGGATTCAGGCCCCAATTTGACTTCGTATCTCCATTAGCAACATCTTGCAGACCATTGGTCACTGGGTTCCCCTTCTCTTTGAGTGACAGCTGGCTAACCAATGATGTGTCGGAGTTACATCACCCGGCTCGGCGGGTTGACCTCACCGCTCCACGCCTCAGTGAGCGGCAGTGGGCGGCCGATGAGTTGTCAGAGTGATGTCACCACCCCATCATCACGTGACACTTGCGGCCTTCACACAACTTTCCCCAACTGCAATACCCTGATCTACCACTAATAAATCCATGAACGGGCAGAAGAATAATAAAGCTTGGAATGGCATCCACAAGACAAAGTGATCTAGTCTAGCCTTGACGTTGTTAGTGCTGGACCTCGGAAACAGATGTTTAACAAAACAGCTGCAGGTCTACAGGTGCACTGTCAGAAAAAAAGGTACCCAATTTGTACCATTGCTTGTCACTGGGACTGTACCCTCAGGGGTCTGCTAATTGTACCCTTATCAGTTGGCAAATGTACCTTTTAAGATACAGAAATGGACTCGGAGAAACCTAAGGTACAAACAACATTAATGTACCATCAATGCTACAAAAAACGTTCCCCAGAGTCCACTTCTGTACCTTAAAAGGTACAATTACCTACAGCTAAGGGTACAATTGGCAGAGCCTTGAGGTTACAGCCCAAGCAAAGGTACAAATTGGAGCTATTTTTTCTGATAGTGTAGGACTCTGACTGGAGACTCTGTATAATTTGGGTCTCACAAAAAACAAGCATCAAACACATTCACGTCACCTTCGCCTTCATGTCCAATTTGAAAAAGGCAACATGGTTACCTTATAGCTACATATAATCTACGCTTCAAGTCACAAGTGCTTTAAAATCCTCATTAAATATAAATTGCTTTACAGTGAGTGTAATTACATTCTCCACCAAGGACATTCTGGGAGGGGTCTGAATAAATACTACGTAGAGCTCCCCCCCATGTCACCGTCACATCAGGGAAGTTCCATGGACGGCTGCATCATGGTCTGACTTACGGGACACATGCACTGGCCCAGGTGACACTGACGCAAGTTAATGATAAAGCACTAAATGCCGAGGCGGCGTCGGGACAGACACCATGGATCCTTCATGCATTTATTACGTTCATATTCCATATAATGTAATAAGGGTGCAATTGGTTGAATGCAGGTTTTTCTGTACTGCCTTGGAGTGTATTATTAACCACATTATCACGATAAGCTGGTATTTATTAATATAAAGCAGGTTATTATGGGCTATATCGTCTGACAGTCATGCTTTTAATCACTGGGATATTCCGTGAGTTCATTGACTGATTTATAATTTCCATCCATCATTCATCCATCCATCCATCCATCCCCACTGCATACGCAATGCAAGCTCATAGACAGCCCATGACATAATATGTGATTTATTTGTTGTGTTTGATAAGGGGGGTAATTCCACAAAGCAGGATTTCATCATTAGCCAGATAAGACAAATGTAAGGATTGTCCAATAGGAATCTCACTTACCTGCCTTCCTATTGGACAGTTTTCACGTTTGGCTTAAATGATCCAGCTGACTGAGAAATCCTGCTTTGTGGAACATCCCCCCCCAGGTCCATACAGGTCTATTTTTTTCTTTCTTTTCTTTCTAACTTCAGCTATAGTTGTACATGTTCACGGAAAAAAATAAATTGAAGTTATGATTGTACTGACTTTATACTTACAAATTCCCCCTACATTCTCACTTCAAATCAGCCAGCAGCTGCTAATGGATGAGAAATTACAGTCCATCGACAGTCACTGGTTGAATTGCAAGACCGGATACACTGGGTGAGAATGGGGATGGTAGGCTACCTCCTCCCAAAGAACAGCAGGCCTACGGCAGCCGCGAATTTCAGTCTGGGCGGGACGTACCCCCACCCTCAACGCCGTGCTGGATCATCAGGAAGAAGGAGTTACTCCATCTAGCCAAACGTGCCTTGATGGACCCAGTGAAGCTGCATGGGATCCACTCCAGGTTGAGCTGGGCCATAAATACACGAGACGTCACACAGATACGCAGGAAACCAGGTCCGGTCGCTACTGGCTGCTTTTTGCTCAACATTCATATCCTCAAACCATTACAAAAAAATAAACATTAAACAGAAATATGATGCCTCAAAACGTACACTTATTCTGAAACTCAAATGTTATCAGATTTAAATTCACCTCTACATCACCACGAGTACCCACGAGTACCCATGAGTACCCATGAGTACCATGCTTCCTCCCGCCCACCCAGCATGTGTTCTATAGTAGTTATAATCCCCCTCTGTGAGGCTTTTTTCTTGACGTTTTTTTCACTGGGGTGGCTAAAGGAACCGGTGCCAGGTCAGGGAGGTACACCATCAAAAGTGTGGAGGCACTGAGGCCTGAAATCTAGCTGCCCGGGTCCGAAGGAAGGACCGGGTCAGGCTGACATTGTGTTTGACACGATGGAGGCAAATTACATTCAACATCAGCAGTAAGGGTTAGCAGTAGCCTGTACAAGGATAGCCACAGGCTTCTGCAGCGTTAACAAGCAGAACAGCGCCCTCTACTGAGAGGGCTGTGATAATACATATTGCAGAGGGCATTGTTCGGATGCCATAATACATTTCACAGCAGTTCGTATACATATATATATTTAAATACTTGTTTTGTATATAGCTGGTTGGGAATCCCATCGCCAGAATTCAAGGAGGAGCTTTGCCACTGGTTAAACTGGAATCCAAGAGTTCTAGCAGATTGAAACCACTTTGGTGTCATTTAGCACGTCTGAAGGGACCAACCATATTGTCCAACGCCGTACGAGAAAGGATTACTGGCTTAGTGCCACCATTATCACATCACTGGTTTTAACTCCATCCTCATTAGTGTAATTATTGCATCTGAATGGACCAGTCTAAAGCAGCATGGTAGGTCGGCCATGACAGTGGTCGGTCCGGCCCGTGGGCCAGGAGCATTTAGGGGACACCAGGCCGGTTTAGAAGTCAAACCGGCTCCTTCCTTGTCCCTAGAACCAGAAATGAGTTTGGGATCGACCTACTGACACTCAGGTATAGAGGCAGAAGGAGAGGCTAAGTGAGCACACTGGGGTGGGGCGGACCCAGCAGGGGGCGCCGTGTGCACAGCCGTGCCTCCATCACTCCTTACGTCAGTCCATTAGCATCTGGCTGCGGATGTGCGGAGAGCTACTACCCCTGAAACACCATCCCTGCGGCGGCGCCGACAGAGACCGATCAGCAGGGGACGACCCCTGCCTCTGCTTCTAGAAACTTCTAGACACTGGATGCTCTTGTAGTTCGCCTACTCCTTTTCATGTGCGTGGTACAGAGGGTCGGGTTGCACACAGCCAGGGTCCGTGACGCACCTCCCCCCCCGAGCGCCACCTGGTGGCAGGACTGGGGGTCAGATGCCACCTCCTCGCTTGCCTCCCGCTGCACACAGTCATTACTCCCACACGCTATTAGCTCCTGTCTAGTTCCATTGCTGGCACACATCAGGCCCCTCACACAGTTTCCATGCCGACAACAGAATCTCCTCCCCTGGGGAGGAGGGAGGTGGAGCCGCACAGACTGGGGCACTCGTCAGCAGGTGGCGCTGGTGCCAGAGCCCGGGCAGAGCAGTCCACGCTGTCGTGAAGTAAGCCGGGCTTCTCCTGGCCCTCAGCCTCCTCGCGCTCCCCCACCTCCTTGCCCCCGGCAAGCTGGCGCCCTTGCTCCACCTCCTCCTCATCCTCGCTCTCCACCTGGCAGCGGCACACCTCGATGCCCGAGTCGCCCGTCAGACGCCGGTGCCGGAAGTGGCCTTCGTCCGCCTCCTCAGCCTCTTCCTCTTCCTCCTCCACATCTGCCTCAGAGGCACGCCCGTCCGGTTCAAAGAAATCCACATTCGGGGAGAAGAGGGCATGTCTGGGTGGGGACTGTGTAGGTTTGGGGGAGGGCTGCTCCTCAGGGGGCTCCTCTTCAAGGCCTCCGTCCTCCTCCTGCTCCACCAAAACACCGAGGGGGTCTGATAGGGTGGGCGGGGGCAGTGATGCGGAGGGGGAGCCCGTATCAGTGGCCAGAGGGCAGGGGTCGCCCATCTCGCTGGGCGTGGTGGCATTGCTGGTGTCCGTCTCATCAGTGACCTGGACGGAGAAGGAGGTGCTGCAGTGCGAGGAGGCAGAGCAGGACTCGCAGGAGCAGCTGGTGTAGTTGTCGGAGCTGTGAGAGGAGGCCATGCCGCTGGGGCCCGCGTGGGCATACTGTGCCGCTGCCCCCTGCAGGGCGAAGACCGTGTTGTATGCTGGAGGAGGGGTGTTGGGCCGGGCTGCCACCTCCTCATAGGACGGGAGCTTGAATGAGGCCAGGAAACCTAAAAAAACATAATTCATATATGGGTAACTGACACCAGTGCAATGTCGACCACAAAGTTCCAGTCCTTCAGCAAAACGTGGTCTGTGTAAAACTAGAAGAGCCATCTGAAAAAGCAGCACACAGGAACCACGACAACAGGAGTCATGGCGACAGGAGCCACGGCGATAGGAGCCACGGCGACAGGAACCACGACAACAGGAGTCATGGCGACAGGNCCACGGCGACAGGAACCACGACAACAGGAGTCATGGCGACAGGAGCCACGGCGAGGAGAGTCATAACAGAACCTGCAGCACCTGCATCCCCGAGATGTGTGGGAATACAGCGCCACTGGACTTTATAAAAATGAATACTGGTAAGTGAGGTGAGAGATGAGAGCGTAGCAGAGGGCTGTGGGTCAGCCAGAGGCCACGTACTGAGGTCCAGCATGGATGCCGGGTAGTTGCAGGCACCGTGGTAGGCGATGAGGTTAATCTCCCTCTGCCGCTGCTGCTGCTGGATCCGCAGCTTGGCCCGCCGGTGCCGGTAGGCGCAGCAGCAGCTGAACAGGATCAGCATGGTCCAGAGGAGCCAGAACCCTGCGACGGGGCCCGGCGCACGCAGCATGGGTTCCAGTACACAGCAATGCTCTCCTATAGTAACTATCCAATTACTTCATTAGCAGATGGCAAGACTCGAACCAACAACCTTCTGGTGAAAGGTTTACATTGACACAAAATGTGGTTTTATTCTATATAAAAACTGAAGTTTCATATGACTGTTCCTTGTACAAGTGACATCTTTTTTATTGGTTTGCTGAAGGGTATTTGAAGGGTACTATCTTTACATAATATGCCGTGGAGAATACTGAGGGGGGAGCCATACTTACACCAGAGCTCATAGTAGTAGGTGCAGCAGCCAGTCTCCCCGCAGCAATGTCCCGTCTCGCACAGGTAGCCGCCGTGACTGTTGACGCCGGGGCAGTACCTGGGGCCGGAGAGGACGGACTGGCCCCCACGGTACTGCACCCCCTGCGTGGGGGAAGACCGCAGACCTGGATCACAGCCGCGTCTCTCCGTCAAGCCCAATTACAGCCATCTGTATTCCTATCCTACAGTCACCTAGCTTACCCACAATGCACTGCACATCCCTTAAATCCCTTAATATCACTCATACCCAGAAAGAGGCATCATAGTTGACATAGTAAACGCACAGAACACGACAGCACAACAGCAGCATGGGTACATTTCACTAATGATCTCACACATTTTGTACTGTATAACAAAAAAAAAATTTGTTTGTTTGTTTGTTTTACCTTACTGATTGTTTCCATGTCCAGATCCTGTGGAAGGGCTGTAATCTGCAATTGACAAGGGACACTTTGGGTCATACATGTCCGGAAATGGCGGGGAAACTCGCATGCGTTTCCAATCGAATCGCTTCCACCTCCCGACAGCGACAATCTGCAGGTCCCGTGACACGCCTGCGGGGCCAATTTAATCCACTGCAGAGAGTTTAAACTGAGCCCCACCTAAACAGAAATCAATGCCGACTTTCTGTCACATGCCACACCTCCTGGTGAACGGGTGCCAAGGGGGCACGCGATCCCCAGGGCCCCCCCAGCCCGGCCGTGTGCCATTCTCTGACGCAGCAGCCCTCGCCCTCGCACCCCGCCCCCTGGACAAAGGATGAGACGCCCCTCATTACTTTAGCTGTGGTCATTTCGGCCTCTCGAAGGGAGACAGTCATCTGGATGGAGACACAGCAAGCAGCTTTAATGCATTTGACATTTACTGAGGTGGGAAGAGCAGCATCATGTCGGGGGGGGGGGGGGAGAAAAAGAGAGAGAGTGAGAGCGGGGGGTGGGGTGGAATACAGTGACAACATGCCATTGCAGAGAACAAAAATCTCACTGTCTGCAGCTCACTGACAATAGTGGCTGGCCAGGCTGAAGCTGCCTTAATTTCCCCCCCCCCCCCCAAAGGATATGACATGGGACAGCACATGTCCAAGGAGTCTGTCCTCAGTGAGGTCTGCAGGGGGTGTCCAAACAGAACCAAGACACTCCACGGACAAGCCCCCCCAGCCCCAAATCCCACAGCCATATAGTGTCTACTTGTACCAATTACAAAACAACCCCCCCAACACACTATTTTGATACATTATTTATACGTCTCGCTAGCAACCTCCTTAGGGGACGCTTTCCATATTCCGAGATCTCTGCCCCGACCCTCGTCGGAACAGACATGCCCAGCAGGACGAGGCTGATAGTGAATACCAAGAGGTTAAACTGCGCCTTAAAATTACCTTGCTAGAATTTCTCACAATGAAAAACCACTGCCACTAACTAGTTAAACCCTGACATGCAGGCCCTCAGAAATGCTACATGCAGACCGCTGCGGCTCGCAGACCACAAGTCAAGGTGTTTGCATGGAGACGCAGGTCGTTTTTTTTTTGTGTTGTTTTAAATGAGACCCGGGCTCCGGCATACAAATGAGCTCCCCTGCAGTGCATGCAGTGCATGGCACGCAGGATACCAGCAAGCTTCTGGACAGCCCAGAAAAAACCTATATCTGTCTATAGTAGTTTGCCAGCAGGTAGTAGAGAGGAGAGATACTGGGAAGTCCTGCTGTTGGACGCTTGAGTGCGATTCTTAATAATTAAAATAAATAAGCAAAATCAAAATGAAATGTAGAAGACAGATTGCTCAAAACTATTTTGAGACTCCAAAAGTATCTGTTTTCAAGTGTAAAGAGAATGGGCAATCCACAATATAGATCATATTGGCTTAAGAAGAATGGACAATCCACAATATAGATCATATTGGCTTAAGAAGAATGGGCAATCCACAGTATAGATCATATTGCCTTAAGAACACTTTTACATCTGCCTTCTGGACAGCCGTCACCTTACACCAAGCCTTCACCTGATTGGATGAACAAGAAGCTGATGCCAGTGTCCTGCTCTGTGATTCGCTGTGGACAGTAAGTGGACACTAGGCGTGTTGGCATTTGGTGCCTTGTCCCACTGCACCTGCAGTGACTCCGGTCATATTCAGGTCTAAATGTTAGACAGCCAGGTTGTGGAGAGCCCATCTGAGAACATGTGATGACAAAACATCTCTCGAGACAATTCCCATTGGCCCCTGTGGAAGACATGCAAATTCTTTATGACTGATATTCCAGGGTTGCCAACTCTTACGCATCTGGAGTCACACTCACGGTTTCAGATACTCAGAAATCTTACAGCCAATGTATATTATTCTATTATAAACCTAAAATTAGCTACATCGGAACTGTTGGGGTAGTTTACAAGCCCTACAGACTATTTACAAGGTGATAATGAGTGTGCAGACTTGTCTCAAATTGAAAATCCCACTCCAGCCAGCTGACCGAAGTTGGCAGTCCTGTGTTCCCTGTAGATCTCTAGAGTCATGGGTGTTTACTCTTAAATTTCACAGTTCACGCTTCCGGCTTGGTCCTAAGAAGCTGGGAGTCATTTGTCTGCCGATCGTGATGAAAACCAGAGCAGCCAATCACATATGATTTCACGGGTGGACAGATAAAGAGATGGGGGGGAGGGGTGGTTGTGTGTGGGCCAGTAGGATAAGACTCATCAAGTTCCCATGATATGAAGGTTTGCAACCTAATCCCATTTGAATCCAGGGGCTGGTACACTAATGCTGCCGTTGGGCCCCTGAGAAAGGCCCTTAGCCCCATCTTGCCCCCCCCTCTCCCCCCTGCTTCATGTAGGCCTTGCCATCCGCACCATAGCTACTTATCCTGACTCAGTGCCTGAGCTGCATTGAGGTTGCTTGACCCGGCAGCTCTGGCAGTTCACCGTGCCGGTCAGGATATCACTTAGCGCTATGTGACAAAACGCGCTTCATTTCCCCTCATCCTGCCAACGGCGAACGAAAAGGCGGCTGGCCAGAGGCAGGAGCCACGTCCCACGTCAAACTCACAGCTCACTGCCGGCAGCTCGAAATCCACACCTGCCAGCTTCCCACCCGCACTCACACCCATTTCAGCTCCCCACGTATCGGAACTGACCCCATGCTGCCTTTAACCTGCTCTGGATACTGCCAGACCTGTTGCGTGGTGATTTAGACGCCGCATCTGACGGCGAGGCAGTTTGCGCGCTCAGCCATCTACACGGCTGGGTGCATAACTGGTGTAATTCAGAGTCAAGGTGACCAGCAGAGTTCTCCCGGGACTTGAGCCGCAAACCATCAGGGACCCAGTAATTCACCACCACGTTGCGCTGCTTTCCCCAAAACAACTGCAATTGTAACCTGCATTTGTCTTGCTCTGCCTCAGATTTATTCGGATGTTTATTTATTTGCATTGTTGTTTCTGCATGCGATGTGTGCAGCGTTGTCTGCCGCAAAACTGCGCCGAGTTCATGAAAAACGAACTGCTCCGACTATAATGTCTTTTATGTAAAGGAAAACGAGGGTTATACAACAGCGGCGCCGGAACCTAGGATAATACATGTTATCCTTCCCAGGGTACCGCCGCACATGCAACACAGTATCCCAGCCGATGCTCGCTTCGGGGTTTGCTGCATTGGTGCAATTTCCCAGCTGCAACGAGTAGAGCGAAGAGCCCCAGAACTTTAATGCAATTTAACGCAACATCGCGCACAGGCCAGACTGGGCACGAAAAGTTGCTATGAAAGTGACCGTCCCACTGTGTGTAATGCAGAGAAAATAAACATGAATGGACCTGAAAGAGGCAGATATGGGGTGGTGATACGCACGGTCAGACGAAAAATATGTGCGGACTTGCAACATGCACCGAACAAATTTCACCTGATAACACAGTGCAACAACCCATCATGTATAGAGAATACACTTCATTAAGAACGCGTCGAATGAAAAACGCTGAAATCTGAAAACTAAAAACAATCTCAAGAAAGCCCAGTGTAATACGAACAACATGGCTGTTATTGTTTACCAAAAAACAAAAACATGCAGAAAGTATATCTGTGTATTAACAAACACCCAGGTTTACCTCTTCTGACTCTTCAAAGCAGGACACTATTTCCAGATCCATGACGAAGACCAGTACGCGTATGCTGGGATTAAACACGGATTTCTTGGGTGCCACTCCACCGCGCCCCCATGTCATCCTCTATCCAGATGCATGTCCAGCCCTATCCGCCATTCCCGGCCGGACAGGATGCCCCTCCCAGAATCCCGGATCGATGGAGGAAGCGCGGCCGGTCCGACAGCGGCGCACGTCACACCGACGGGGACGGAGCGCATCCCAGCCGGAGGCAGCTGGCCCGAAACGCGCAGCGGAGCGCAGGCGACTGGCGGCCGGTCGCCGGATTTCTTGTGCACAGGGATGGGAGCTGAATTAATGATGTCATTCACTGACCCCCCCCATCAAAACCCAACTGGAAGCGAAGTGAAGACCCCGTTTAGGATTGGATGCGACTCCTCCTAGCAACAGCCGGAGAAGCAGCAGCAGCAATGAAACCGCTTTCACCACCATCCCCTTCAGAACCCCCCCCCCTTTAAAAATTACCGGGCCCGTTTGCGTTTTCATTGTGGTTATATCGGAGTTCAATCGCCGAATTGATTCAACAATATAGGAAGGCTGAATTTTCATAAAAGCGTCGTTATGTCAGTGTCACCAACGTTAGAAAAAAATGAGCATGCTGGGGTTTTCAGTTAATTACAATAACACAATGCGCCTCTCAAGGTCATACAGCAAACAGAGGTCAGGGACGTGAGCCGGCTCTTGCAGATGTATATTTATGATATTGACATTAGTGAAGCCAGACAGTATTACGGAGATTTCAGTCATGCTCTGCTTTCAGGCAGCGCGAGCCAGCAGCACCTGCCGTCTGATTATACATAGCTGAAGGATTTAGGCTCGGTTTCATGTTCTGCTCTCGCTTTCGGACACTCCCAAACTGAAATATAATTATATGTTAATTTGTAAGTGCCCTGAAACAGATGGGTGTGTTTTTCCGAAGCATAACCGTATTTTTCAGCCTACTCGTCTATACAAAAAATGGTCATAGATTAATACACATTTATTAGCAATGGATGAGTAATTGTGAATTGTAAATTATGTATTAAAAATAATGCATTAAAATGCAAAATGCCGCATCCTTAAATTATGGATACGGAAGCTGAAAATTGATTATTATAAGTAGGCCTATTAGAAATATCTTCCTTTTATTTCATTGCTGTGCTCTGTTACGTTGGCTGTCTTCGGGAACCATAAAAATTCTGTAACAAAGCTGTATTTTGAGCATTCTTAAGAATTGAAAATTTCTCTAGCAGTTTAAACCGAATAAAATTACATGCTTTCGGTGTTTATTTGTCAACGTTTCCCTCACAGATTATATCAATGATTAGCAAAATCTTTTAAAATATACTCTGTCGTTTTTGCTTCGTTATGCATTATGTTTGTCTTATTAAGGTTTTTTTTTTTACTGGATCGTAGTTAAGAATAACAGCATACAAATCAAAAGCTTTTCAGAGCAAACTTTCAATTCCCCCAACTTCCACCCGACAGAACACGATGCTACAAATGTCCACAAGATGTCAGCAAAGTCTAGAAAAACGAGACCTGAAATTGCAAGGGAGGAAAAACAAACATGAATGAAACCATTTAAATTTTAAAACGAGGTTTACAGAACTGGTTTTAACGCCGTATTACACTGTACAAACTGCTTCCCGTCGAAGACAAAGGGTGATGGTCAGGGATTAAGTTTGTATGACTAGCCATAAATAGCAGCAATTCATATGCGTGCAGGAGGCAGCCTCAGTAACCGGGAGATTTATAACAAGGGGAAGTGCAGAGGTGTTTTTCTCACTCCCAGGTGTGCCTGAGGAGGTACCTTCCCCAGTCACGGTGATTCACTAAGCTGCTATCTCAGCTGGCGACAGAAAGGTGTCATTTCAGAATGGAATGGGGGGGGGGGGCAGCTTTAGGGTGAAAAACAAGACCCACTATAACGTTGTGCTCCCAACACCTGTCTGTGGTTAAGGCTCTATGTGGCCACGAGGCTGCCCCCCGTGCATATTCGTAGGTGTCCTTGCCCCCCCCCCCCCCCCCCCCCCCCCTTGGCTGGGTTGTTTTGCTGTCTGTTTCCCTGTCTCAGTTCCTTCTAAAAATACCCCCACCCTCCCCGGACGTCGACAGTTTTCCTCCTCATCCGCAGCGTTTGAAAATGAAAGCCTGCTCCCCATGCCGCCGAAGAATGACCAGCCGGGCGGCTCCAGAGGTCCATGCCCGTCGAAACAGTGAGGATGCAGGCCACCCTCCCCCAAAAAAGCTCCCTCGAACCCGTGGCCCTCCCCGGCCGTTTTAGCGGCGGCGGAGGCTGCGGATTTGCCGAGCCTCGGGTGTACGCGGCAGCCGCCCGCTCCTTCGTGGGGCCTGTTGACTTGCTGCTGCTGACTCTGTCGGCAAGGAAGCTCGTTTTGGGCCCAAGAAGCGGTGAAAGATAGAGGCCCAGTCATGCTGATGGCAGGACGAGCGGCTATAGCTAATGCTAATATGTCCGGAAGACCAAATGCATATGCCTGCGTGCGAGCAGACATACACAGTTGCCCCAGGAAATTTTAATAATTACAGGGAAGTTCCTCCTGGCCTGATGTTTGTGGAACTGTTGATCATTCGGAGGCCAGTCTGACGAAAACATGAGAGAAACCGCAACTGCATGCAACGCGGGGGGTTGGAAGCTCGGCACAGACCCCGAAACTCAGGTTCTGTGCCCCACGACAGTGTTTGCCGTTCCGTAACGGATTCCCCTGATGGCGCAGGTGCGGCGGTCGCCACGGTGACGTCGGCCCAGGTGAGACAGTGGGGCCCTTTGTGCGAGGGCCCGAGGGAGACGTGAATTAGAGCAAAGGGGATGAGGGCGCTTTGTGCAGGATGCCGGTCGGATCGTACCACATGTCCTCAGCATGGGGGGGGGGGGTTGGGTCCACACAGAAAACGTGCCATGCTTGGGCTTGATTTTTCTGGACCTGGCCACACATCCAGCCTGCGTAGGATGTGTGTGTGTGTGTGTGTGTGGGGGGGGGGGGGTTAGGGTTAGGGTTAGGACTTGGAGGAGGTCCAGAATTAAACAAACAATACATATCTCTTCTTAAACAAATGCATCTTCTCCAGTTCCACTCTCATTCTGATTTCGATTTCATTCTCAGTCTTGCACTCCATCGACGCGGCAATCTCTCTGAGTGAGATTCCACTCTCGGGCACGATGTCGGTGCAAAATAGTGAGCGCTCTCACGTACCACACCCACAGGTGGAGAGTGCTCCCAGCAAACTGACTGGGTAATCACACTTCCAGATCGCACAAGCGGCATAGCCCTGCAAGGGCGTTTAGGTCTCCCCAACTGTAAATACTACCAGTAGTATTTAAATACTACCATGTAGTATCATTTTTGTTTACTGCCCAGATCTACTCTAAAGCAATTTATTCAGACATATGTTTTGCTGGAGCAATTTCAAATTATTGGCACACAAACTGGGAAATAAAAGGTAAACAGCTGGAAAAACACAGAAGTACAACAGAAGGATCCCTGCCAGAATGGGTGCCTGCAAATCATGTGACTCGCTGTTCAGTGGTAGGACATCATGATAATATCATGATAGATATTGCACCCGTGTATCACCCAGGGAACATCGTCCCACAAAGTGACTCACAGATGACCCAGTTTCACCACCGTTTGGGTGTGGGGCGTCTCCTGGTCACTATCACTCCTTGCCACTTGTTGAACCCAACAAATCCCCCTCCCCAGAGCAGACGGCAGGTGTCATGAGTTCCCACGTCGATGGCCATACTGCATGGCGTGAGATCACCGCGTGCGGGAGAGACCGGGCCTGACGACGGACCACACTGCATTCTCGGAATGACTCATGCCGTGGCCTGGCATGGCTTCCGGGCTTGGTGCAGGAAACGCAGTGAATGGTGCAGAATACCACGGTGAGAAAAAAAGATCAACAATCTGCTTGGAGAGTTCAAAAATATAACCATCCGCAGGGTCTGTTTGTAGTGGCAGTAGCATTTAGGCCAGACTGGAGCGCTTATTGTTGCCAAGAACCTCACACACAGGAACTCAGACGGCCTAACGTTTGTACGTGAACGTGTCTGTGCGCTCGCCCTGCGTGTGGACATGTTTGCCGGAGCACGCCGTCCACCCCCCAGCAGGAGAGCGTGAACGCAGCCCAACCTCCTCTTCACTCTTTTTTCACGCCCACACCAACACAAGTTTCATCGGCAGACCACGGATTTGAGCCCAGAATCAAAGGACTACCTCCTACGGCTCATAGGAGTCTAGGCCAAGATTCTCACATTGATGCCGAGCCCAATTTACAAGTTTCATTTTCATCCCAAACCAGTAGATGCACAGGTCTGGTTTAACTCACATGTGAAACACACAAGAGCAAAAGACAGATGTTGGCTGAAACCTCTTGTACGTCTCGTGGGCGAAGAGCCACTATGATGTAAAGACGGAACTGGAGGACGTGAACTTTGCCCCTGGTCCTGGGTGAGGAATCTGAGGCCCTCTTGAGCAAAGTACTCAGCCTGAAAGGCTCCTGCCAGTTATCAAGCTGTATAAATGGGTAAAAATGTAATCAAAACAATGAGACCAGTTCAGCAGTTCAGTAATGGCACTGAGGAATTCATGACGCAGATGCAGATAGTATGTGGATAAATGGCATAGTAGGGTATGCTTAAGAGAACCACATAGTCAAAGACTTCCCCAAATGGCCTCTCCCATTCACCAGCCCTGGTCTCATTCCAGCTCCATGGAGATGAATGGGTTCTCTTTACGAGGGGAGGGGGACGGTGTGGCAGGGAACGGAGTGTTGGAAACTCCAGCTAGGCGAGTTTGACAGCCAGAGCGGCACGTCAGGGAGGATCCCCCCGTGAGCATATACCGCCCGCTGACGGTACGGCATGTTGGACAGGTGCTTCATGATTGGACAGATCTGCTGAGGTCCTGAGTCGCTGTGTTGGGGGGCCGGAAACACCACCGCACAGCGGTTTTAAGGATCAGGACTTGGGAAACGTCAGTGTTTTTCCAAGGGAGCCGAGAGGAGTGCCTGTGGACTCGGTGATCCGTTCGCACATGTGCGGGACCGGTTCAGGATTAGGATGCTAAGCCCCATTGGAGGGAAACCTGAAAGCTACAGCTGGCAAAGCGATAGCGGCCGTATCTTTACTTTGAGTGGGAAAGGCTATATTTCAGCGTGCAGCAATAGGGATAACTGACAGAAAATGTTCTGGTTCTGGACATATGGTTTAGGTGACCGCTCTGTACCGGTATAAGCACGGTCCGTGAATCGATGGCAAGATACGGGATGTCTCGGTAA